CATGACATTGGTTAGGGCATTTACATTTATGTGCTGGATCTTAACATACTAGAGCGTGCATGACATGTACCAGGTCCAGAAAGTTAGATCATAAATGCAGTGTCACGCCAACAGATCGAGCTGTTCATGGAGCCAGGGAATTCCCGGACCTTCTGTCTCTGGAGGTTTGGTAAATTGGCATGAAGATGTATCAGGAGCGATAGGCTTGGACCTGGCACTGAGGATGAGGAAGGGTTATTCAGCCACAAGTATAGAGTTACAGGAATTTAGGAAAATGTTCAACCTGGAGCCAGTTTGGCCAACAACGCTATATATAAAAACTACCTAATGTGTAGGCAGGTGCTTAGTTTGGTTAAGTCTCCACAGGTCCAATTGGGTCGGAGAGATGGAGACCTAATGTGTAGGCAGGGGCTTAGTCTGGTAAAGTCTCCACAGGTCTCATTGGGTCGGAGAGACGGAGGCATATTGTGAGTATCAGCCACAATGGTAGGTATACTGAGCAGAGCGTTATGCAGCTGCATCCCCATGGGGGAGCAACCTGGGTCTCAGGGCCAGAGCAGACATCGCATGGAAAAGGCTGCTTGGCATACTGTGGAGCCAGCTTTGGAGGGTGGAGACCTTTGGCCAGTTTCCAACAGGTGTGTTGGATACACCTTGGCAGCAAGGATTTGGACATGTGTCATAGGCAACCTGAAATGGTTAAAGGCTATGAACACAGCTGTGCGTCTCCTGTGGTCCATAATCGTATCTCGTTTGGTGTGGAGAGAGTGTAGGTTTGTTTCTCAAAGTTAACACAGCACACATGGGTGTTAACCATGAGGGCTGCTGTGCAGTCTGCAGTGGCCTTGGATCGGTGATTGGTCACCAGATGATTCAACTGAATATACCTTTGTGTTCCTCAAAGTTAACACGGCATAGAGGGGTGTTAACCGCAAGGGCTGCTGTGCGGTCTGCACCGGCCTTGGCTTGGTGATTGGTCACCAGACGATCCAACTGGATTGGCCGAGTGTTCGTCGATGTTAACACAGCACAGTGGGGTGTTAAATGCAAGGGCTGCAGTGCGGTCTGCAGAGGCCTTGGATCGGTGATGGGTCACCAGAGGATCTGATTGGATAGGCCTGAATTTTTCAGAAAGATGGACTACATCTTTCTGATTTGGGTTTGGATGTCTTCTTGGAAGACATGAAGGGGGGCCTCCTTGTGGATCTCGAGGGGCTCTTTGGCAGGCATGAGATTTAGCTATGCTAGTCCCTCTGCTGTGGCAGGTCATGCGGAAAAAACGGTTAGTCCCACTATAAGATCAGGTAAGCTAACAGTGCATCACACCTCCCAGCACTGCGGGCTGTGCGATTACAGTGATTGAGGGAAAGATGCGTTGGGCCAGTTCCAGACCAACAGTCACCAACTAAAGATGGCTTTGAGGTCTGGAGGTGTTTATTAGCGGCCAGCAGGGTTCCTGATGTCTTCAAGACTGCAAGAACCTGGGGCTGGGGACTCGCCCCTCTGTTGATTAAGGGGTATTTGGCTACCTCTGTGATTTTCCTGTTTCTGCAGTACAGCAGGCTCCTCTTTGCCAAACGATAGATAATTTGAATTTTCAGTCAAATGCGGCCCGTTTTTTAACTCATATTATTTGTCTCATATCATTATTCTGGTGTTGGGGGGCAATGATCATAGTACACTGAGACACCTTGCAATTCAAAGGGTTTATCATATTTCTTGATGAGAAATAATTCTAAAAACATAGCACCCAATATGAATACACTTTGACTAGTCAACATGTCCAGAAATACAATTTAAGAAAAATGCACCGCACAGTTTGAATTTAATTCTGTAGGTATGATCTCATAAAGGCAACAGACTTTTTTTTAACCTAACATTTCTTGAAAATAATGCAAAACTGGGTAATTTATCAAGTCTAAGATAACTTTAATTTCTTTCTTCTGTTTGTGTAGATTTTCCAAAGAAGAAGTCATTGAAGATGATGTGATTTCTCTGTCATCTGTGTCTCGTCTTTTTCCCTACCATTTGCTTCTTGTTGTTCAGGTCAGGCCTTAGAATAAGAACATAACATTTGGGAAGGAAGATACAACCCAGCAAGCCACCACTGGAAGCCAAGATGGAGAAGACCTCCATAGCTACCATGTATTTTCCTTTAGTACTCAGGTAGGCTGGCAGAAAAGACACCCAAACACTGCAAAACATCAACATGCTGAAAGTGATTAATTTGGCTTCATTAAAAGTATCTGGCAACTTGCGGGCAAAGAAAGCCACTGTGAAACTTATGATAGCTAACAGTCCCATGTAGCCCAGGACAAGATAGAACATGAGGTCTGAACCTTCATTACATTGAACTAAGATTTTGTCAGTCTCAGAATGCATGTCAAACTCTGGGAAGGGGGGAGAGGTAATCAACCAGACCACACAGATACCAGCCTGGATAAGAGAAGACACCATGATGACTGATCCTGCCAACCGCTTCCCAACCCATCTCCTCATCCCAAGTCCAGGCTTTGTGGCCATGAAGGCTACTATCACAGTGATGGTTTTGGCTAAGACACAAGCAACAGATACACAGAAGACGATGCCAAACACCATTTGTCTCAGAAGGCAGGTGAGAGTTCCAGGCTGTCCAATGAATAAGCAGGAACATAGGAAGCAGAGGAAGAGAGAAGAGAGTAGGGCACAGGTGATGCTCCAGTTGTTGGCTTTGACCATGGGAGTGTGGCGGTACTGAATGAAAGTCCTCATCACCACGATGGTGGTGATAGAAAGCAAGACGGCGAAGCTAGTCAATATTGAGCCCAAGGGTTCCTTATAAGACAAGTAGCTTAGGGTTTTGGGAATACAACTATCTTGATTCTTGTTTGGATACTGGTCCTTGGGGCATTCCTGGCATTGTTTCACATCTGAAAGAAAACAACTTGGTCTTAGTTTTGTAGTCACATCACTTTTATAAATTACATTAAATGATCCTTCAAATGAGTCCTGCATTTTTTTTCAAAGTTGATACTCTCTTGGGACATCCTTGTTCTTCGATTTAAGAAAATGAGGCAAGAACACCACTAGAGAGGCAAAAAAATTCCTGTATTTCTCCATAGGTGCTTTTGGATTCCTTCACTTACCCGTCTGGATCGAAATCCTCCCGTTGGGGCACGCAACACAGTCATAGCAGCACACCTGCTTCCCCAGTTGGACAGACATGCTCTCTCCAGGGTGGCAGCTCTCCACACAGGTGGACTTGGGTGTATTCTAATGATCATCAGAAGGAAAGTCAGGAAGAAGTTAAATGATAATTAGAAGGAAGGTTATTGAATAGTTAAATGACCATGAGGAACAGGGGTCTCCAAACTTTTGAACATGAGCACCACAGCGTATATTTGCCACATTTTTGAAGGCTAAAGGAATGTGCTTGTAGATGCAGCCGCATGCACGCATCCACCCCAGTGAGCACAGACATCAGCCCACCCACATGGAGGCCCCACCACACGCACACACAAGCAGAAACCCCTGGAAGCCCACCACCCCTGTCCCATACGAGCTGAAGGCTGTGGGCAGAAGGAAACAGTCTGGATAGAATGGAAAGTTAGGCAGGATGTGGTACTCAGGCCACAGTTTGGAGACCCCTGATAAAGAGGAAGATTTATCTATCTATGCGGCTCACAACATTAAA